TGTTAGCATGATTAGCAAGTAACTAGCATGCTGTTAGCATGATTAGCAAGTAACTAGCATGCTGTTAGCATGATTAGCAAGTAACTAGCATGCTGTTAGCATGATTAGCAAGTAACTAGCATGCTGTTAACATGATTAGCAAGTAACTAGCATGTCATTAGCATTATTAGCAAGTTACTAGCATTTCATTAGCATGATTAGGATGTTGCGAGCATGTCGCTTGCATGATTAGCAAATCACTAAAATGTCACTAGCATGTTTCCAGCATGATTAGCATGCTGCTAGCATGATTAACAAGTTACTAGCATTTCACTTGGATTTTTCTAGCATGATTAGCATGTTGCTAGCATGATTAGGAAGTAACTAACATGTTGCTAGCATGATTAGCAAGTAACTAGCATGCTGTTAACATGATTAGCAAGTAACTAGCATGTTGTTAGCATGATTAGCACGTAACTAGCATGTCATTAGCATTATTTGCAAGTTACTAGCATTTCATTAGCATGATTAGGATGTTGCGAGCATGTCGCTTGCATGATTAGCAAATCACTAAAATGTCACTAGCATGTTTCCAGCATGATTAGCATGCTGCTAGCATGATTAACAAGTTACTAGCATGTCACTTGGATTTTTCTAGCATGATTAGCATGTTGCTAGCATGATTAGGAAGTAACTAACATGTTGCTAGCACGATTAACAAGTTATTAGCATGTCGCTAGCATGATTAGCATGTTACTAGCATGTTGCTTGAATGATTAACACGTTACTAGCATGTTGCTAGCATGTTTCCAGCATGATTAACATGTTATCATGATTAGCATGCTACTTAGCATGATTAGCAAGTTACTAGCATGTTAATAGCATGTTGCTAGCATGATTAGCATGTTACTAGCATGTCGCTAGCATGATTAGCATGCTACTAGCATGTTGTTAGTATGTTTCTAGCATGATTAGCATGTCACTAGGATAGATAGATTAGATGTTTTTTGACCGCTGGAGTTTGAATAGTCTTGGGAACATTCCGTCAATGTAAGTCTATGGGATTTGTATGATTTTTAATCTTCAGTTTTATGAAAACTATAAGTCGGATCAGTCTGAAAAGATAAAGCACACGAAGTGAGATCCGTCTGAAGAGCTGGGCTGAGTTTGGTGGTTGTAGCTGGAAAGCTCCAGGAGGAGGAGCGTTCAGAAATGTTAGTCTCATAAGAATAATAAGAAGAAGAAGCTTAAGTAGCAGATCAGTAAGCTAACCTAATGATACAAATATTATTATTTTTACTGCACTTTGTCATTCTTCTAGTTATTTACCCATGGTGGCTTTAATATTCTGTCATATTAAACACAGCTTATTTCCAGGTTGGATAGAAGCAGCTCCGTGTCGCGTGCGGATGAGTAGCTGTGCTTTGTCTCTGCAGCTGGTGCGAGTGATGGTTTCTCCGGTGAACTCTCCGGGGGCCACAGCCAGCTGCCAGAGGGCCATGTTCCAGTGTGGTCTCCTCCAGCAGCTCTGCACCATCCTCATGGCCACAGGTGTTCCTGCAGACATCCTCACAGAGGTCAGATTGCTGTCAGAACCGTGTTCACTCTCTGTCTGGTGACCCACGTGCTTCACCTTCAGCCGAGCTAGTGCTTCAGAATACACTTCGCAGCCGTTGATACAGTTGAGGTCAAAAGTTCACATACAGCAAAATGTGCATTATTTTAGCAAAATGCATGTTATTTTTTATTTAGTCCTGACCTGAATAAGATATTTCACATGAAAGACGTTCATATATAGTCCATGAGAGACGATAATAGTTGAGTTCATAAAAATTACCCCGTTTAAAAGTTTACATGCGCTTGATTTTTAATACTGATAATTTTTAGTTTAGTGATTGTTGTTCACGAACCGTTAAACTGCCTGCTGTTCTTCAGAAAAATCCTTCAGCTCCCACTAACTCTTTGGTTTTCCTGCATCTTTTGCAACACCATGCATTAAGAGCCGGGGGTGAAAACTTTTGAACAGAATTAAGATGTGCACATTTTTCTTATTTAGCCTAAATATCATAATTTTTTTAATTTAGTACGGCCCCTCAGAAGCTACAGAAGATACTTGCATGTTTCCCAGAAGACAAAATAATTTAAATTTACCCTGATCTTCAAATTCATAAAGTTTTCTGGGAGCAGAAATTTGTGGGAGCTGAAGGATTTTTCTGAAGAACATCGGGCAGTTTAACTGTTCAGGACAAACAAGGGACTCGTGAAGAACTATCACTAAACTAAAAAACACAGCTGTGGATCATTCAGCTAACAACACAGTATTAAGGGGATGAAAACTTTTGAACGGGGTCATTTTTATAAATGCAACTATTATGTTCTCTTGTGGACTATATGTGAACGTCTTTTATGTGAAATATCTTATTCAGGTCAGGACTAAATAATAAATAACATGCATTTTGTATGATAAATAATTCACATTTTGCAGATTCTGCAAGCTGTATGTAACCTTTTGAGTTGTTTCAGTTGATACAACTGTATCAAGCGTGCTGCAAAAAGTGAAGCCAAGCCGTTGCCATCTGGTGGCCAGTTGCAGTACAGGTCATAAACCCACCATGAGCCAAACTAACATTCTATACATTATAAATAATAAACACAATAAATACATTCTTCCCACTGTGCAGACTCACTCTCTGTGATCATTTCAGTATTAAATACCGCACCAGTGATGAAGTGTTTTAACTGTTTCCTCTTTGTCCTTCTTGTGTAGACCATCAATACAGTGTCCGAAGTCATCCGTGGCGCTGAAGTGAATCAGGACTACTTTGCATCTGTTAACGCACCATCCAATCCACCAAGGTCTGCTTTGTCTTTAGCACTGGTTATTGAAACGGTAACCAAAAAAGGAAGAGTTGGTAATATGAACACATTGGCTGTTTCCTCCAGGCCCGCGATTGTAGTTCTTCTCATGTCGATGGTGAACGAGAGACAGCCGTTCGTTCTGCGCTGTGCTGTACTGTACTGCTTCCAGTGCTTCTTGTACAAGAACCATAAAGGACAGGGCGAGATCGTAGCCACCCTGCTGCCCTCCACTATAGATGGTAAGGGTTGCCCTGACTAGTTCTGCCCCAGAAATTTTAATGTGTTGTTAATTTACTCATCTTCAGGGGTAGGTGACTTTTTTCTTCTTCTTCAGTAGAACAGTAGAGAAGATTTTTAGCTGAAACTGTGCTCCTTGGTGATTCATAGAATGCAAGTCAGCGGCTGCACGTCTTTGAGAATAAAAAAAACCATCAAGGAATGCAAAACTAATAGCCGTGGCTCCTGATGATATACTGAGGTCTTATGAAGCGAAACGATCAGTCTGTGCAAGAAACCGAACATCATTATTACCTCTGATCCAGAGCCTCAGGCAAACGGGGAAATCTTCACTCAGACAGTTTGATTCAATGAACTGCTTCAGTTCAACTGTTCGTTTAAAGTAATCATGCAGTGACGTCACATATATGCAATTATATTATTAAAGCACCCAATAATGTGGATGTTTAAGATGTCTAAAGCATATAAACTGAACGAACTAGTCGTGATCAGCTCACCTTTTATGTAAACGATGAGAAACTATAAAACCCCTTCATTCAAGTGTTGGGTTCACTTATGCTCATATCAGCTGCTCTTCGGTCCGAGTCGAACGCTTTGCACTGAATCAGTTCATTCATCACAGGATCAGATACGCTGATATTTCGGCTCATTTCCAGTCGCAGTGACCGTCAGGCGTCTGAAAGTGAGTTTTGATTGAGTAACTTGTAGATCTGTGCAAACTGATTCGGATGATTCAATCCGATTTGGTGAACTGATTCAACTAATTCACTAAAAAGAACCGGTTCAAAAGAATGATTCGTTCAAGAACCGGACTTCACTCCAGACCACATAAAATGAGTTAACTTCACTTATTTTTTTTGGATGGGTTGCGTGTTTGTTTTCACTATTCAAAATGATTTTTGCATTTATTTTTCATCTGTCGTTTGAGTGCGTGTCCTGTCTGTCTGTCCCTCAGCTAGCTCTATCTCGGCGGGGCAGCTGTTGTGTGGAGGTCTGTTCTCAGCGGATTCTCTGTCAAACTGGTGTGCCGCTGTGGCTCTGGCTCACGCGCTGCAGGATAACCTCACACAGAAAGAACAGCTGCTGCGTGTACAACTAGCCACCAGTCTGGGCAAGCCTCCCGTCTCCCTCCTCCAGCAGAGCACCAACATCCTATCCCAGGTACCTCTCACCGTGTTAATATTGTATGCATGTATATGCACGTGTGTGTTAGGATGCATTTGGGCTTCAAGACTCTGGGCTGATGGGCTTTAGTCAAGGGTAATTGTTTGCCTCAGTAATTCTATCAGATCTGCTCGTTTTGGACGCTCACCAGTATAGACGTGTGTGGCAGCACGAGTGTTTGATTGAGACGGTGTAATTGTGTGTGTGTGTGTGTGTGTGTGTGTGTGTGTGTGTGTGTGCAGGGCAGTCGTGTGCAGACGAAGGTCGGTCTCCTCATGTTGCTCTGCACCTGGATCAGTAACTGTCCAATCGCTGTCATGCACTTCCTGCACAATCAAGACAACGTTCCCTTTGTATCCTTCTATCTATACACACACACACGCTCACTCACTCACTCACTCACTCACGCTCGCTCACACACTCTCTCTCACACTCACACTCACTCACTCACACATACACGCTCGCTCACACACTCACACTCACTCACTCACTCACGCTCGCACACTCTCTCACACACTCTCTCTCACACTCACACACGCTCACTCACACTCTCTCTCACACACACTCACACACACACACTCACTCACTCACTCACTCACACACACATACACGCTCGCTCACACACTCACACTCACACTCACTCACACACTCACTCACACGCTCGCTCACTCACACACTCACGCTCACTCACACTCACTCTCACTCACACTCACTCTCACTCACTCACTCACTCTCACTCACTCACTCACTCCACTCACTCACTCACTCCACTCACTCACTCACTCCACTCACTCACTCACTCCACTCACACACACTCTCACTCACTCACTCACACATACACACTCACTCACACGCTCGCTCTCTCACTCGCTCACACTCGCTCACACTCACACACTCACTCCACTCACTCACTCACTCACTCCACTCACACACACTCTCACTCACACGCTCGCTCTCTCACTCGCTCACACGCTCGCTCTCTCACTCGCTCACACTCGCTCACACACACTCACTCACTCACTCACTCACACATACATACACTCACTCACTCACTCACTCACACACACACTCTCTCACTCACACACACTCACTCACTCACTCACTCACACACACACTCTCACTCTCACGCACGCATGCACGCACACTCTCTCACTCTCACACACACACACGCACGCACACTCTCTCACTCTCACACACGCACACACACTCTCTGAATGGTCTGAATGGTGGTTAATAATTGACAGTGTGACTGTGGGCTTTAAGGAGACCAGCTCTGATCACAGCATCTGAATTAAGTACAGTGACTTGTTCGAGTGCATTATGTTTCCTTAAGTGATGTTTTCAGCTGACGGGTCAAATCTCTGAAAACCTGGGCGAGGATGAGCGCCTGGTTCAGGGTCTGTGCGCTCTGCTGCTGGGTATTTGTATCTACTATAATGACAACAGCTTGGAGAATTACACAAAGTATGTTTGCACTTTTTCATTCGTATTTTGTTGTGTTATAACTAGGGCTGTCCGTTTGAAATGTTATTAAAAATTGTCATGATTAATCTTTTTATTGGTAATTGAAGTGCATGTAAATAAATGTTGTGTTAATACATTAACATTAAATGAACACGGAACATTTTTTAAAAAGCTGATATGATTTTTACATTGTGTTGGGCAAAATTGGTGTTAAATATGCACTCAAAAAATAATACTTTTATTCATCAAGGATGCATTAAATTGATAAATGTTCTTTTGAATATTCGGAATCCTGAAAAATTAATTTCCACAAAAATATCAACTGTTTTCAACATTCAGGATAATAAAGCATTACTTTAGCAGCAAGTCAGCATAATAGAATGATTTCTGAAGGATCTGAATAATGCAGAATTTTTTTTTTGCCATCACAGAAATAAATGCAGTTTTAAAATAGTTATGCTATTTCACGATTTTACTGTATTTGTGATCAAATAAATGCAGCCTCGTTGAGCAGAAGAAACTTATTTCAAAATCATTTTTAAAAAATCACACCGACCCCAAATTTTTGAACGGTAGTGTTATGAAATGAATTTGATAATTGACAGCCCTTCTTATAACTTCGCCCTTGTGCCTCCTTCGTTTCTCGTAATATTGTTCTGTTCCTCTCCTCAGAGAAAAGCTGAAGCAGCTGATCGAGAAGCGCATAGGAAAGGAAAACTTTGTGGAGAAGCTGGGCTTTATAAGCAAACACGAGCTGTACTCCCGTGCTGCTCAGAAACCTCAGCCGGCCTTCTCCGCTCCAGAACACATGCTGTTCGATCACGAGTTCACCAAACTCATCAAAGAGCTGGAAGGTCCGTGTGGGAGTCCAGAACCAATCCAGAAACTATCCGTCTGTGATCCCATCACAAGAGTCGAAATGGGATGCAGACCCACTGATATAGAACTTCAAAATTACAATTTACAAATCAGTTCCTCCTGATATGAGCATTTAGGCTTTCTTCATGTTCTGTGGTTCTTCATTTCTTCATAGGGATGATAACAAAAGCTGTGCTTAAGTCGAGCGAGGAAGAGAAAAAGGAAGAAGAGGTGAAGAAAACACTAGAACAGCATGACAGCATTGTAACGCAGTACAAAGAGCTGATTAGAGAACAGGTAAAATACCTCAAATACATCACAAGCGCTGGTCTCGCCTTCCTCCTTTTAGTAGGAATTACACATGAATTTTCCATTTCTCCTGTTTATTCAGGATTGTCAGATAAATGAGCTGAAGGAGCAAGTAGCATCGCTGACTTCCCAGAGCGAGACGCTGCAGAGCACCGTAACGCAGCAGTTCTCTCAGATGCAGCAGCACAAAGACCAGTACAACATCCTCAAACTCAAGCTGGGTACTGAGCCGTTCTCAGATGTCTAGCAGTACTGTCTGCAGTGTTTTAGGAGAAGTATCCGCTACAGCTGCTGCACTCTTCCTTCACGTCCCGCAGGTAAAGACGGTCATGTGAACAGCCTGCAGACGGAGGAGCAGAGCCGACTCCGAGAGAAGCTGGAGGAGCTGCAGAGACAAAACCAGGGGTATGACAGGTATTACAACGAGAAGGTGATTTCTGAGGACATTTTCAGTGTCCCCGTAATTTAAGAGGCTTATAAATCATTCAGAATGAGTTTTTTTGAAAATCTGAAATAGCAGAAAGTCTCCTGTGAGGGGTAGGTTTAGGGGTAGGGTTGGTGTAGGACAATAGAATATACGGTCTGTACAGTATAAAAACCATTACGCTTATGGAGAGTCCCCATAAACCATAAAAACCAACATTGTGTGTGACTGAGTGCGTGTGTGTGTGACAGAGTGTGTGTGTGTGAGTGAGTGTCACTGAGTGTGTGTGTGTGTGTGTGTGTGTGTGTGTCTGTGTGAGTGTGTGTGTGTGTGTGTGTGAGTGTGACTGTGTGTGTGAGTGAGTGTGTGACAGTGTGTGTCTGTGTGAGTGTGTGTGTCTGTGTGAGTGTGTGTGACTGTGTGTGTGAGTGTGACTGTGTGTGAGTGCGACTGCGTGAGTGTGACTGCGTGTGTGTGACTGCGTGTGTGACTGCGTGTGTGTGACTGCGTGTGTGTGAGTGTGTGTGTGTGTGTGTGTGTGTGTGTGTGTGTGTGTGTGTGTGTGTGTGTGTGTGTGTGTGTGTGTGTGTGTGTGTGTGTGACTGCGTGTGTGTGACTGCGTGTGTGTGACTGTGTGTGTGTGTGTGACTGTGTGTGACTGCGTGTGTGTGACTGCGTGTGACTGTGACTGCGTGTGACTGTGACTGTGTGTGTGACTGTGACTGTGTGTGTGACTGTGTGTGTGACTGTGTATGTGTGTGCCTGTGTGTGTGTGTGACTGTGTGTGTGTGACTGCGTGTGTGGGACTGCGTGGGTGTGAGTGTGTGTGTGTGGCTGGAACACTGACCCCGGTCACCTCTTGGCCTTTGCATGCAATTGCCAATCATTAACAAAAGGGAACAATTATGGTAATGGTGTACAGAAAAAGCCTCCACAACAGCAATAAATGTGTTGCGCAATGGTTAATGTTGTAGTAGGATTACATGTCGTGACTATGTTGGTCAGTTTTGTTTGTGTTGGCCTGTATGATTTTAATTTATAGCAATTTGTTAAATCATACCCATAACCCATCACTTAAAGGGATAGTTCACCCAAAAATGAAAATTGTCATAATTTGCTCGTCGTTTAAATTCTCTCTCTCGCTCTTTTTTTTTTATACACTGCATGTTGTTTTGGACCCCATTGACTCTGATTGCATTGAAACATTTTTTTATTTCAAAACAATTTTACTCTAGTAAATTTCATAAACAGTTACAAAGAAATGGCAAGAAACACGTTTAATTAAACATGAAATTTTGAAGTAGAAAAAGTTTAGTATTTTAATATTTAGAAATAGTATTTTGTTCCTCCAGTAATAATTTTGGTCCTCCAGTAATCTTTGTTGTATTTACAATTTAGAAAAAAAATTACAGTGTGTATGAACAGCCTTCAAAATATCTTATTTTATGTTCCACATAAGAATATAAGTGATACCGTTTTGAAACAACATGAAGATGAGTAATTTATGACATGATTTTAATTGTACTGTTAAATTTGCCTTTTTGCAATATTGTTTTATGTATTGTGGTTATTAATGAACTAAAATCATAGAATCACCGCTGGGGGGGGGTGTGTTGGGGGGGGGGGGGGGGGGTCATTGGTATGATTTTTTTTTTTTAATGTTGCAATACGTCTCTTCTGCTCATCAAGGCTGTGTTTATTTGATCAAAAATTCGTTAAAAACAGTTAAATATCTTTAGAATTTAAAACAGCTGTTTTCTGTGTGAAAATCTGTTAAACTGTCATTTATTCCTGTGATCAAAGCTGAGGTTTCAGCATCTTCAGAAATCATTCTAATATGCCGATTTGCTGCTCAAGAAACATTTCTGATTATTATTATTTTTCAGGATTCACAGATGAATAGAACAGCATTTATGTGAAATCTTTTGTAACTTTATAAATGTCTTTACTGTCACTTTTGATCAGTTTAATGCGTCCATGCTGAACAGAAGTATTAATTTGCTTCCCCTCCCAAAAGAAAAATCATACCGACCCAAAGCGTTCAAACAGTAGTGGTATATTTGGAAATGTGTGTTTGGTGTCCAGCAGAAGGCTGAGGCCACACCGTCGGCAGAGGGCTCGACTTCAGACGCCACAGCATTACAAAAGGTCAAGTTCCAAGCTTTCTCTTCGTGATATACAGTGAAGATTTCAGCACGTAACATTGTGATTCGATAATAATGCGATTAGACACAGCACTGCTTGTGTGTGTTTGCAGGAGGTGGAGCTGCTGAGAGCTCAGCTGCAGAGCCAGAGCGCAGAGATCGCACAACTACAGCGAGAGAAACACCAGCTTCTCAGAGGAGCCGACGCCACCGTGAGTGTCTGCTGAACATTTCAGTCTCAAAATCCTCAAACCCAGTCATCCCGGGCAGGTGCACTGAGGCGGAGGGGGAAAATGTGATTGTATCTTCTAACGATCAAATCGACTCCCAAATTGTATACAATTATTTTCTAAAGAAAGCACCAGTGAGAGTGTGTGGTGTGACTGTAGTGCAATGCAGAAGAGGGACGTTTGAGGAAACCTGTGCATCTCTGAACAACACAGCAGTGTTTCGTTATTGCATGATTCATTTACTCATTAAGACAAAGACAAAAAAATGCTTTTCTTACTTGGATTTTTGTCTTGTTTCCAGCCAAAATATCTAAAAATCTGCCAGTGGGGTAAGCAAAATAATGTTCTTTCAAACAGAAAACAAGATTATTTAGCTTACCCCGTTGGCAGATTATTATGCTTGTTTCAAGAATGTTTTGATATTTTGGCTGGAACCAAGACAAATGTAAGAAAAGCATTTTTTTTGCAGTGTAGTTTCACATTTAAAGTATTATTTTAATTTTCAATACTCTGACATTAATGTTGTAAAAGTGAAATGAAGTATTAGATACAGAATTGTAATCGCAGTGTATGCAAATGCATCTAAATGCCGCTTCAGAAGCATCTGTGCCATCCGGAAATAAGAGCGTCCTGAAATGTTATGAAGTGACTACGTAACATGATATTGAATTGAAATTTGATTCAAAATGGGGAATCAGATTTTTCACAGTCACTGTTTTCGCTGGATGACAGTATTGTCACTGACCCCGAGGCTTTGAGCGATGGTGATCGTGCTTCTTAGTTCAGTCTGTGTCTGTGTCTGTGTCTGTCAGGCTGCGGCTGCAGGAGACGATGCCATCCGCTCAGAGTTAGAGAGCAGACTCTCGGCTCAGACGCTCAAGGTGACCTGCTCTTTCTGTTTCCATCACGACGTTCCTGATCTTATGTGCTTTCACATTCCCGTTTATAGCACTCCTACTCTCTGTCTGTCAGGAGCAAGTTCAAGCTCTTCTGGAGAGCAAGGAGCTGATGGAGAGGGAGCTTTCTTCAGCCACGAGCTCCACTGCTGTCATGCAGACGGAGAAGAGCAAGCTTCAGCAGGAGCTGCAGGAGTCCAAGAAGGAGCAGGACGATCTCCTCATGCTGCTCGCTGACCAGGACCAGAAGATTCTGAGCCTCAAGCACAGACTCGAGGACTTGGGAGAGACGGTACGTTCCTCTGGCTTTCTGTGGTGTGTTTCGAAGCTCCTTCGTCTTATTCTTGCTCTCCATTTGACTTTTCCTTGTAGATTGAAGATGAGGATGATCTGGATGCAAGGGACCAGTTTGACGACGACGATGATGATGAAGAAGAAGAGTGTGATGAATAAAAACAAATTGACTTCATAGTGGAAGACAGCTAATACTAACCTGCCACTTACACGCTTCGAGAAAGAGACCGAAGGCCTCGGACCATAGAGCTGATCTTCTGATTTTCAGAAGAATCACATATTTGTTTATTTTCTTCGTGCCTGCTTTTTAATTTTTAGTATTTCTTTTGCAGTGGGAAAACCGTTGAACCCATTGCATTTCAAAGAAGCTTTGTGTTTGATCCACTTTCCCGCTGCTTGCGTCCTGGAGGCACACCATCGAAGATTCTTGAGGGAAATAAAGAGAGGATTTGCGTAGTGCGAACCCACAGAGAGCTCTTCGTCTGCTCTGCTGTTTAACATCTCACTCAAACGTCCTGTTTTGCATCAGATCGCTGTTGTCTCTTTTTCTTCCAGCATGCAACAGTTTTCAGAATTGTTCAGCCATACTCATATTTACAAAGGATCAGACACACTCCAGCTGCTTTGCATCGCATCGTGTGTTGTTCTTCAGTAAAACACTGCTGAAGTCCCTCTGAAGGATGGGATCAGACACTTTCAAGTTCCTCTCAAACTGGAGAGCTATTGTGCATTTGATTTAGCTTTTGGTTAATTTATGGATAAACGAGCCTCCTTCGAATAAACTGTGTAAATGCACGTCTGTGGTGTTTTGGTTTTAAACTCGTTGTTGCATGTACAGCTGTATTTGAGGATTTTTTTCAATGCTAATAATATCCACAAATAGAATTTTGATATGAACTGCGTTCATGGTCATGTTTGAAAATTAGTTATGCATTAATTAGATTTATAGGCTTATTAAAATTCACAACGTATTTTTCTTTAAGCAGCCTTTCAGAAAACACTGTCTGGGGGGAAAAAAAACCCTGCTATAATATAATTAAATATTTGCTGTTTGTACACTACAATTAAAACATTTAGAATCAGCTAGTTTTATGTTATGAAAATATTGTACTAATTATGTATCAAATTAAAAATCTATTTTCAGTCTCTAGCTTGAGAAATAGACTCAAATTCATGGGCTTTTAAACTACGTCTAAAAATAAAAATAGTTTAGTATTATAAGAATTAATAAGTTATTAAAATATTAAAACTAATTCAGGCCTTAGTTGCAGATGTTACATAAAATAAATGCCCAACTAGATCGTTTATTATTTATGGTGTATTTATATTTACACAATTATCCCGCACATTTCTGCATTTATTGATGAACATATTTGGCTCTCAAATGAATCATAGTGACATAAGTGTTCTCAAACACAGGTTATGGGTTATATTATATAACTTAAAGGCACAATATGTAAGATTTTTTTATTAAAATATCCAAAAACCACTAGAACAGTGTTATATATTTTGCTGACTTGTGTACTTACATTATCCCAAATGTTTCAAGAATGTTGAAATCCAGAGAAATAAGCAATTTTAACTAGTGACACGGAGTGTGTCCATAGTGTCATTGTGTCGCCTGCCGATGACGTCATAACCCCTCGATTTCCGGTTTTGTTTTGTAGAAAACATGGAAACAGCAGACGCTTTAATATGTTGTGTGTTTTAATAGACCGGTGACAGCCGCACAGAGTAGCATTATAACAGAACTAAATGTATCTCGTATGATAAAACAGCGCTGCTTTACCCCACATACACACGACCGGAAGCAGCGGAAGCACTCGACTGTGGCATAATAAAAGCTCCGCTGCTTTACCCCACACACGCACGACCGGAAGCAGCGGAAGCGCTCGACTGTGGCATAATAAAAGCTCCGCTGCTTTACCCCACACACGCACGACCGGAAGCAGCGGAAGCGCTCGACTGTGGCATAATAAAAGCTCCGCTGCTTTACCCCACACACGCACGACCGGAAGCAGCGGAAGCGCTCGACTGTGGCATAATAAAAGCTCCGCTGCTTTACCCCACACACGCACGACCGGAAGCAGCGGAAGCGCTCGACTGTGGCATAATAAAAGCTCCGCTGCTTTACCCCACACACGCACGACCGGAAGCAGCGGAAGCGCTCGACTGTGGCATAATAAAAGCTCCGCTGCTTTACCCCACACACGCACGACCGGAAGCAGCGGAAGCGCTCGACTGTGGCATAATAAAAGCTCCGCTGCTTTACCCCACACACGCACGACCGGAAGCAGCGGAAGCGCTCGACTGTGGCATAATAAAAGCTCCGCTGCTTTACCCCACACACGCACGACCGGAAGCAGCGGAAGCGCTCGACTGTGGCATAATAAAAGCTCCGCTGCTTTACCCCACACACGCACGACCGGAAGCAGCGGAAGCGCTCGACTGTGGCATAATAAAAGCTCCGCTGCTTTACCCCACACACGCACGACCGGAAGCAGCGGAAGCGCTCGACTGTGGCATAATAAAAGCTCCGCTGCTTTACCCCACACACGCACGACCGGAAGCAGCGGAAGCGCTCGACTGTGGCATAATAAAAGCTCCGCTGCTTTACCCCACACACGCACGACCGGAAGCAGCGGAAGCGCTCGACTGTGGCATAATAAAAGCTCCGCTGCTTTACCCCACACACGCACGACCGGAAGCAGCGGAAGCGCTCGACTGTGGCATAATAAAAGCTCCGCTGCTTTACCCCACACACGCACGACCGGAAGCAGCGGAAGCGCTCGACTGTGGCATAATAAAAGCTCCGCTGCTTTACCCCACACACGCACGACCGGAAGCAGCGGAAGCGCTCGACTGTGGCATAATAAAAGCTCCGCTGCTTTACCCCACACACGCACGACCGGAAGCAGCGGAAGCGCTCGACTGTGGCATAATAAAAGCTCCGCTGCTTTACCCCACACACGCACGACCGGAAGCAGCGGAAGCGCTCGACTGTGGCATAATAAAAGCTCCGCTGCTTTACCCCACACACGCACGACCGGAAGCAGCGGAAGCGCTCGACTGTGGCATAATAAAAGCTCCGCTGCTTTACCCCACACACGCACGACCGGAAGCAGCGGAAGCGCTCGACTGTGGCATAATAAAAGCTCCGCTGCTTTACCCCACACACGCACGACCGGAAGCAGCGGAAGCGCTCGACTGTGGCATAATAAAAGCTCCGCTGCTTTACCCCACACACGCACGACCGGAAGCAGCGGAAGCGCTCGACTGTGGCATAATAAAAGTCCCGCTGCTTTCCAGCCGTGTGTCGCGGAGACGCTGTGTGCTAGAAACAATAATGTACAGTATGTGGAAAAGAATGTGTTTTTTTAACCTTAAACCGCGTAAACGCATTTCATTACACCAAATACACAACATAATGTTCTTTTTAGCAGCATCATATGACCCCTTTAAGTTCATAGGCGCCGATCCGGGGCTGGAGCACTCACGGAAAAACACCAGATTAATTTGAACCAAGTCACAGCTTAGTATGTGCATAATATTTCTTACAGAAACTGTCGATATGCTTCATATAAATTTTTTGTGATTAAGTTCAATTTTTGTAACTGAAGATCGGGAGAAATGTGAATTATTCGTTGGATTTATTATGTAGAAATCATCACAGTATGGTGAGGGGCGTAACATTTCCGTCACAAATCGACGCGTTTCAGAAAGGCGGGGCATAGAGTAGAAACAATAATGTACAGTATGTGGAAAAGAATGTGTTTTTTTAACCTTAAACCGCGTAAACGCATTTCATTACACCAAATACACAACATAATGTTCTTTTTAGCAACATCATATGACCCCTTTAAGTTCATAGGCGCCGATCCGGGGCTGGAGCACTCACGGAAAAACACCAGATTAATTTGAACCAAGTTACAGCTTAGTATGTGCATAATATTTCTTACAGAAACTGTCGATATGCTTCATATAAATTTTTTGTGATTAAGTTCAATTTTTGTAACTGAAGATCGGGAGAAATGTGAATTATTCGTTGGATTTATTATGTAGAGCTGAATTTAAAAAGTATGCGTTTTTATATTTTTCTTAGAAGCTGTCAATAGGTTTTATACGATTTTTTTATATCACGCAATTCTGCAGAAAAAAAAAAAAGTCAAATTGTGAGAAAGAAAAAAAAAAGTTACAATAAACTTTTTTTTTTTATCCAGTGGCGGAAACGGGCTTCCATACTTACCAGTTTTGAAAATAATTATTAGATTAAATGAGCAGTCCTAAAATGTGCATCTAATGAAAATGATCAATCAGCGTTACTGTAGAAGGCAGTGACTGTCTCGAGAGTTGTCGGTCTTCAAATAAAAGCTCAGACAAAGGACCGAGAAATAGGAGAGAGAGCAAAGCACAAAATCTTATTTTATTTACAAAGTTTTTGTCTTACAGAAAGTAAAAATTTAGCTACGACCTTGATTCGTGCCACAGGCTGCCTCGCTGAAATGATGGCCCGCCTGTCGCACAGAAGCCATAGCAATCTTCGGGACGTTTAGAACAAAAACTAAAGCGGGAGGAAACGTCAACCAAAAAAAAAAAGAACACTTTCAACAGAATATTAAAAGCAGAGACCCCAAACTAAATACCAGTCCCCAAAGTCCCCACAGGCTCTGAAACGCAGACAGGCAGGGGACTGACTGTGGACGCGTGGAAGGCTTGCGTTCAGCTCACAGCTCCACTCATCCGTACGGTCTCAGAGGAGGTCTGGCTGATGGGAGGCCAGGTGTTGGAAAGGAAGGAGAGGGAAGGGTTGGTAACAGAGTTGTTCACTGGCTCTTAATCGTCCTCGTCATCGTCGTCCTCATCTTCATCATCCGCTTCTCGTTTTCTCTTCTCACCCTTTCCTCCTTGCTCTTCTTCTGAGCGAGAAAAAAACATTAATACTCCATAATCGCAGGGTTTAAAGTTCCATCAGTTCATAAAGAGTCACGTGCTTCATTCCTGAATGAATCAGCCGTTCGAACGAATCAATTGAACGAATGATTCAGTGATAAAATCAGTGACTTGCTGCCACCTGCTGGTGGAGTTAGTTTCATTTTTAGCTTCAGATCAATAATCCTGATAAAAAATTAGCCTTCCTAATACGAGGTGACATGCGACTCCTTAAAGTGACTTACAGGAGTATTTTCTGTTTACCTTTGCAATGGCATCATTTTCATCTGTCAGATTCAAAAATGTATGTTTATAATCTTTTTAAAACTATGTAGAATAAGACAAGTTACCAATCATATGAAATCCGTATTAATAAATTAATTTGTACTGCAGAGGCGGCACAGACGAACACGTTTAATGAGGCTCAGAGGTGGCGTGAGTGCAATTCATAAATTCGTGTGGAGATAAATGTTTTAAATATAACATTTTGAATACAGAAATGATTCAAATAACTGAAATTATGAGCTGAAAATGAAACTAACTCCGCCAGCAGGTGGCGGCGAGTCACTGATGTTATCACTGAATCATTCATTCAATTGATTCGTTCGAACGGCTGATTCATTCAGGAATGAAGCACGTGACTCTTTATGAACTGATGGAACTTTAATCCCTGAATACAACTCACCTTCATCATCGTCATCATCGTCGTCATCATCATCATCTACTTCTCCATCCCGACCAATTTCTTCCTCCTGAAATCGACGAGGTTTTGTCATTAAATCAGTTTTCTGTTATTAGTGTTATTCCACGAGCAACGCACGTACCTCATCCTCTCCACTGCCCTCCTCATCGTCCTCCTCGCCTTCAACCTCATCTTCATCATCGTCGTCGTCTTCATCAAACTCATCCTCCTCATCTGCGTTGAAAGTGATACGAATGAACATCGGCAACCCCCCAAAATAACTCAACGGCCGAACCGGAAAGCTGGCCACACCGACCTTCATCATCGTCATCATCGACTCCGTCAGCTTCTCCGTCGGAGTCCGACGCCTCGCGGTCGTCCAAATCGTAGCCGTCCAGATACGCGAGCTGTGGGAGGAGCCTGAAGACGCTTTCCCGGTAGTCGTTCAAGTTTGTGACTTCGCAGTTGAAAAGGTCGAGACTCTTCAGATGGTCGAGTTTTTTCTGCCAAAGCGAACGGATCGACAACAAAACGGTACAAGTCCAGTTAGGGTTTCACTTCCAGCAAAGCTGCTCAAACACTGCACACTTTATTATTTGTGCTTTTATGGCTCATATATAGCATGATACAGAAGAACGTAGAGCTCAGAAAAGGGAAAAAGCACAGCTTCACGGGGCTTATAGCTTTTATAAAACGGTTACTCCATATACGTAGCACGGTTTCACGAAATAAAACAGAGCAAATAAAGTGTAAAGATATTAATAAACACAGTATTCTTCCACCAAACAATGTAGCTCCTCAGAAACAGTTGTGGTTGCTACAAAGTGGTTGCCGAGCAACACACAAATGTAAACAAAGGTGTGTGTTACTTTGTAGCGTCATTTACAACAGCTTCAGACGCGGCTCAGCCAATCAGAGCCAAGCACCGGAACTATCTGTTTTATAACCATAATTATAACAGTCAGAAGATGAAAGAGCTTTATTCTTATTCTGAAGGACTGACTGAACATTATGACTTACAAATCAATCAATCAATCAATCAATCAATGAATGGAGATCAAATACTGATTAGGGTTTCACGAAATAAAACAGAGCAAATAAAGTGTAAAGATATTAATAAACACAGTATTCTTCCACCAAACAATGTAGCTCCTCAGAAACAGTTGTGGTTGCTACAAAGTGGTTGCCGAGCAACACACAAATGTAAACAAAGGTGTGTGTTACTTTGTAGCGTCATTTACAACAGCTTCAGACGCGGCTCAGCCAATCAGAATCAAGCACCATCCGTTTTATAAATATAATCTTATGTTCAGTTTACGCAAGCACATAGTTTAGAGGAGCTAGAACTCTCACACGTTATGATACGGCAGACTTCATCAGGTACAAACCAAGGGTTCCAGCGTGCTGATGTCCTTCAGTTTGTTGCCGCTCAGGTTGAGATGCGTGAGACTGGGGAGTTTCTCAGCTAAAGCATCGAGGCCGCCAGAGATTCTGTTGTCGCTGAGCTCCAACTGAGGATTAAAACACATCACATCACAACACGTGTGTCTCAGCACAGCCCGTCAGGATTGTGTGCGCTTACCTTCTTCAGCTTCCCGAGCTTGGGGAGGTTGGAGACGGAGAGCAGACCCACATTTATCAAACTTAGAAACTCCAGATTAACAAACTCCGCTGTGAGGCCTTCGATTTTCCCTTCGTTTGACCTGCAGTTGTCCAGCACGAGCTCTCGCACCTGCACACATCAGGATAACACTCAGCAGCACTGCAGCGGTGTGAGCATGCACACGTTTACACGCTAAGCTGTGACTTGGTAATCTACGAAATAAATGTTATGAGTAACTATAAACCCAATATTGATAGGAGACGCTGGGAGTTCACGCGGTCCATCGTGTTTCTAATACTGAACATCTGTGGAAACATTTATTAGAGATAATATCTAACAAGATTGATCGGTTACTTTTAAAGATATTACTTTTGGACACTTTGATTCCGATTCTAATAAATACAAAGCTTGTTTTGTTATAAATGTAACTAATATCCATAAATAAATTCACCAACAAAACAACTTTTCTTGTTTTTTTTGGTAAAGAATTTAAAATGTATCTTAATAGCATTTCATCCTCTGTGAATAAGAACAACCTCAACTTGTAATGACTTTAATTTGTATACTCTAATTGAAATATTAATTAATATCGTACCCTCATATTTTTCTTTATCTTTTTCTCTCTTATGTTCAGATGGATTGTGCATAGTGTTGATAAATGCTGTGCACTCTATACAAAGTTGTATATTTTTAATTGTTGTTTACATTCATAAAAAAAAAAAAATCCCGCGCGCCAAAAACAACAAACGAGGGCGGAAGTGACGTAAGCGTTGCTCTGCTGCGAGAGACGAAGACGGAGCGGAAGTTAGCGAGACAAAAATGGCGAGATTCTTTCTCTAGTGACGAACTGGAGAAGCACATGCAGTTTTTCCCTTCTTCTCCTTCTCCTTCTCCTTCTCTCCCTGAGATCCGCGGTGCGTCTCCGCACAGCTTTCGCCTCACAGCTCGTCTGAAGATCACCAGCGCGCGACACTAGAGCGCTTCTGAGTAATGGCGGGAAGCGGCGCCTCGAGTAACAATGTATCCACAACACACGCGTTAAACACCGCAGTTTGAAAACTTTTAAATATCACTTTCATCTAACCGAAAAGCCTCCGCGCGCTTAAGAAAAAAGCCGTTATATTAAACGTCCGCTGATATTTCTTCGAACCGCCGGGGGTTTATTACTCGAGCTTCAGAAGCTCTGCGTGTAATGAAGCTGAGCAACACATGGCCAGCACCTCCTCCAGACACCGCAGCCCTGACCCACATCAGCTCCTGCAGCAGCGTTACTCACATCACACGCCGTCCTGTTCCTCAGCTCCAGATGAATCCTCTTCTTCATGTCCATAGCGCCCCGCAGAAGGTGCACTCTTCCGTCCTGGGTCTCCTGTTCAGCCCAGAAGCTGCAAAGATGCTTTAACGGAGGGAGACTGTGGGACTGTAGTGCTCTGAGGCCAGCGCTAAGTTACTGAGGAGAGCAGAAACACGTAGAAGAAGCGGCGCTGAAGCGTTATATACTCAACAGCGCCCCCTGCGGCCAGCGGCGCGCACTGCAGCACAGCAACACGGAGCGCTCGTCTCGATGCTGTATAATGATTTCGTGTAATTTTTTGCATATCAATAAAGAAAGTTTATTATGGCGCTTAAATGCATGCATGGTCTTGGGAAGTTGATTTATCGGCAAACACAGACCCATATCTGCATTAACCTCCTGGGACCCAGACAAAAATTAAAAAAAAAAAAAATCTTCATTTTTTGCCGTTACGTTGCTTAGAGCATAAGAAATAAAAATTAAAAATAGGCTAAAAAATATTTTTTTAGGTTTCAGGATTGTATTATACCAGAATGTGTATAAAGGTGATTCTCAGGATGATCTGATATACCGTTTTTCTTTGTGTGTGTAAAACGGGTTTGCCATTATATACAATGTATCTCTTCACTGTAACTCATTTGCATATCGATGTGTTCCTGGGGCAACATGTAATGAAAAACAAAGTGTAATAATATAGGCAAGATTTTCATAGTAGTATCTAATATTTCATAGGAATATTGAAGTATAATTGATTTCCCTATTCATTTGTTATTATCTGGACACTATCTGCTTCATAACAGAAAGTTTTGAGTTGAAACCCCGAGATGTTGATTTATGACAAACAGTTTAAAGTTAGTCAGATTTAAATATATGATCATATTACTGCATATTCCGTTGTCGTAGATTGTCAAATGCAGTGCTCTCTTTCCATCAGCTATATTAATATATTATATAACGCCACTATTAAAAGATTCTAACAAATTTAAACGAACATTGTTTCTCTCTTTGAAACTCGGATGCCCGTTTTCCACACGTTGATATGATTCTTTAGGTTTTAAAAAAAACACCGGGTGAATTTTTATCATTATAGGGTGGTTGTGTGCACACACATTTCAGTTCAAACTACTTGTAAAAGTGCATGTAGCATCCGATGAACCCTATTTCAAAAGAAAGCATTTTGAAAATATTAACTCCATTCGCTAGACATGAAAAGAACCGGGGTCAGACACTCTTCCCAGATGAGCAGCTATATGAGAAGCCCTGAGCTAGCTTTCACCAGCATGCTAGGAGATGTAAAGTTCTTATTTGGTATCATTAGGTCCAATGATTGCATGAGAGAATATGAGGCTGTTTTGTACAAAACAACTCAAACTGCAAAAACACCTTCCCTTTAATGAAAAGCCTGATAGGGGAAATGTATAAATCATTTCAGTTTACGATAAATGATGAATGTCTGTGGTATGTCATATTTAATTCATGAAGCTCAGAGCTGGATGCTCAGTATCTGCTTTAATGCGGGACAGAGGAGCTCACTGTGTTCGGACAGGATTGTGAACACACCTAGAAAGTGAGCAGAAGGGATAAAAAGGTTATGTATGAGTGGCCACAGAGGGCCGGCGCTTCACAGCCCTTTTGAGTATTCAAATAACATGCAAATACAGAAATGCCTTTAATGTCAGCTTAATTTTTTATCACTTTGAAAAGTGCAGGTTTATTGTGGCTGGCATGCTAACCGTGAACACTTCAAGAGACGGTTAGCGTGTGAGGATTCATTCATCTGAGAACAGAACATAAGCTGGTTCTTCAGAGCGTGAATATGTTTTTCACACTCAGAAAATAAAACGGTTCTTTGTGGGAACCCTGTGGCATCTCTCTATGAAACCCCAGTGTGAACCTTTATTTTTAAGAGTGTATATGTGAGATGCATGTGTTTACAGAACAATTAACATGCAAATGGATTATTGTAGCAGGGTATGGTTAGACTTGTTGAATGTTATGAGGAACGTTATGGAGACGCTCTCTTGGGAACCAAGCCATTTTCACTGAGCAGCAACTCTTCACAATGATATACAGGTCAGTCTCCAGTTTGTGATTTAAACCTGATGTCTTTTGGTTTATATTTTGGGTTAGGGTCTCGTGACGACAGACAATGCAGCATCATGACCTCCTTCTTTTGCTCTCTTCGGTCAGTATTGTGCCAAGTTCTCCACCGTTGCAAATAAGATAAGAGCACAACTGCAAGAACTCTCCCAGCACTATGGTAATGTTTAACCAGATAATTATTCTCGTAGCTGCAGGAAAAGTAAATGGGAGCAATTTTATTTCAGCCCTGTCACTTCAATGCTTCATATTCATGGGACAGCACAATACAATGGAGAAAGAGATCCTGCCATCTGAAGTAAAAGATTCTGACGAAGGTACGACGTTGGATTTAAAACTTCATGATGAATCTTTTTAAAAAGAGCCCGATTGCCTGAATTTGCTCATTATCAATTTATTCTTTGCTTGTCCATTAGTGAAAACATTTTATATCAGATGACAAACACAAAGCGTTTCATGAGTAGTTCTTTCATTTATAGGTTTGTAATTTGCACTGCGATACATAATATTCATTTGCTACTTTTTTTGTTTTTTTGCAACGATAATGAGATATTTGAAAGATTTTGCACCAATAACTCAAGCTAACAGGGAACGTTCTCAAAATGATGAACAAATGTTCTTTCAGTAATATTGGCACAAAAACGTTATTCACACAGCCCTTGTGCAATGTTTTTTGTTTTTTTGACTGAAATTGTTTAGTTGGAAGGTCAGCTAATGTTTTTAAATGTTACAAAAGAACATTAAAAATTAACATTTCCGTAATGATAGATTTCCGTTTGATAAAAAAATCAGAATATGTAAGATTTTTTATTAAAACATCCAAAAACCACTAGAACAGTGTTATATATTTTGCTGACTTGTGTACTTACATCATCCCAAATGTTTCAAAGAATGTTTAAATCCAGAGAAATAAGCAATTTTAACTAGTGTCACGGAGCGTGTCTATAGTGTTGCCTGCTAATGACGTCATAACCCCTCGATTTCCATTTTGTAGAAAACATGGAAACACCAAAGACACTTTAATATGTTGTGTGTTTTAATAGACCGGTGATGACCGCACAGAGCAGCATTATAACAGAACTAAACATATCTAGTATGATAAAACAGCTCGTTCCGCTTCGACGGCTTTCAGCCTCACTCTGCTTCATTCTACTACGACAATAAATCATTAGCTCATCCATGAACATGATTTCTGCCCGAGTCTCGTCGGATTGCATCGGCTGTGGGGATGAAGACCACAACTCCCTTGATTCCACACTCAGTCACGCCGTCATCAGACTACGCCTTTGTCTCTTTGTTTATTTTGAATACATGCCCTCCAGCGGCGAAAATTACATATCGTGCCTTTAACATTTGCAATGCATAGCCAAGAAAAGAACGTTTTAAAAATATTTTAAAAACTGGATGTTTTAAATGTTCAGAGAACCTCCATAAACAATGATTTTATAACATAATGAAAACTTTAGCAAAATGTTTTAAGAATATATTTGTGTGGCGACACCCTCACCTGTGTCAGTGCATCTGCATTTCTTCTGAAACATGCCTTGAGTGGCTCTTCATGCACTCATGAGCTCTCCTCACTGCAATACCTGCAGCAAAGCACTGAGCGATTTGTCTGTTTGGTTGAAGGAATTCGGCTGCGACTGAGAGACAGAGACCTGCTGAAGAAACGAAAGGCCGAGGCAGAGGAACAGGCAACCAACCAGTGGGTTTATGAGTAAAGATAGTGTTGAACGAGGCTAATAGAAACACTGGAGAAGGCTGTAGAGCACCTATTCATACTTCCATTCCTGTCACTCTGTGATGTTGTGATGCACGTGCACACATTTGGGTTAGTTATCTCCTAATATCCAACAGAGCACAAGGTCTCAAAAGAGTGAAAAAGAGGAGCAGCGGTACCCCGGGAAGGAAAGGGGCACCTGTAGATGTTCCAGAAGATCAGGCTCAGGACGTACCCACGATAGCAGAGCCGCTGCCTGTGGAAACACAGAGTGAAAATCCTCTGCAAGGCTTTCTGATCGAGCATCTGGGGCCCGAAGAGGAAGAAGACATGCCTCAGAAGAGCCTCGTCATTGATGCAGGTGTTTGCAGAAATCTCTCTAATCATTGGGTGGTTCATTTATACAGTTAAGCATTTTATGTATTTGCTTGTCAGAGCAACTGAGTAACGTGCAGTGGTTTTAGGTGCGGTGGATGATGCACCTGAACAACCGGCGGATCCTCCAGCTCCAGCTCAACCACACGGTCTACCTGAGAGTTTCATGATCCGAGTCGCTTTTCTGCTGAACAATGCATTGCAACTAACTCGTTTACTAAGGATTTCTAAGCCTGAAACGAGAACAAATGTATATTTATTAAAAATCACATTTCTATGTGTATGCCACTCATCAGTACTCTGTCAAACAATCCAGATATATTGTTAATAAAAATAAAAAATTGTTACATTATAGCACTTTTGTGCCCTCCAGTGATTGTAAACAAAAAAGTGTTTTTGCCATAAGCCTTGTTTAGTTTGTTTGTACAACTAACTATTTAAAAAAAAAAGGCTTTTGTATTTAGTCTTTGTCTGCAGTTATTTCACTGGATTGTTAAACCATCGTGCAGGAATCAGTCTGATTAATAAACGCAGGGTCTCACTCAACAAGCGCATGTAATAAACGCTCACACACAAACTACACCATTAAAACAACACATTCTATTAAATTCTTGAACATAATGTAATGCAGCGATACAACACAACTAGCAATAGTTTTTTTGTTGTTGCTGAGAATAGTGTTAACCTATATCTGTGCTGTGAACATCTTGTAGTGAAGGTTTTGCAATGATGATTTTAATCTGGTTGGAGACAATATTTGTAATGTCCTGCTGCTATCAGTGCACGGACTTCCATTGCATGGACGGAGAAAACAATGCATGGTTTTCTCAAAATATCTTCCCTTATGTTCCACAGAAAAATCTAACTCATAATGGGTTTGGAGTGACTTCAGGAGGAGCAGGACATATGCACAGAACTGACATCATATCATTATATACTGTATATCTATATCTATATCTATATATATTATCATTGAGATCTTTTGCTGCTGATTGCAGATTAGGGTTAGGGTATATGGCGATATAGTTCTGCATTAGAGGCCTCCTACAACAACAACAACAACATGTACAAATCTTCACAGTTCTGTTTGTGTTTTCTCTGTGTTCGGCTCTTTGAGGGTTAATGCGGCGCTGTGAACACTGAAGCAGAGAAGAAGAAGAAGAGCCGCGTTTCCGGTGTTTTTTTATCCAATCAGGTGACCGTGTGTTTTATTTTGAACGCGGCGCTGGCGGTTAAATCGAGTTCCCCTCAGGATTAACATTAACGGTAACGCTGAGAAAAGCGCGTGTGGTAAGCGTTCAAGAAAGAACACGCGTTAATATAAACAAATCCGTGATGATATTTTGGGTTAGTGCGTCGAAGTAAAGACTGTTCGCGAACTCCTGAAGCGCTAATCTCCTCAGATCTGCATCAGAAGACATGTCTTCAGCCCGCGGCTCGTCGGAGGAATCTTTATTTCAGCCCAGATCTGAACGAGTTCCGCTCAGAGATGTCACGTTTCAGAACAAACTGCTGCATTTGCAGGACGGTCCTAAAACACAGGTACGGCGATGTTCCCTCACTGCTTTCAGATTGCTTTAAAGGGGTCATATGATGCGATTTCAAGTTGTTCTTTCTCTGTGGAGTGTCACAAGCTGATTGTGCATAGATAAGATCCCTGAAGTTGCAAAGACTAAAGTCTCAAAACCAAAGAGATATTCTTTATCAAAGTTAAGACTCTGCCACGCCCCCCTAAAACGGCTCGTTCTAACACGCCCCCACATATCTACCTCACTATGTGGAAATATTAGCATAATGCACCCAAATGTGCACACAGAGAAAGAAGGCGTGGTTTCAGTAACCGCAGTTAGTGTTGAAGCAGCATGTCAGGGAGACGCTGTGTGTTTCTAG